GCTGCTCAGAACGCTCTCTATGGTGCTTCTGGAGAAGGTGGGGAGGATGGCGGGGGCAGTTGGACTCTCCTCATCATCCACAGGAAGTCCAAGCGCTTCTGTGCCCTTTTGACCAGTGAGGGGGAGTTTACATTCCAGGTGAGGGTGTCTGTGATGAGTTTGGTGCTGACCACCTCTACAGCTGAGCTGTTGATGAGCAGTGGAGCGTGGTTAGGACGGTTCTTCCTGAAGTCCACCATGATCTCCTTGGTCTTCTCCACCTTCAGGATCAGGCTGTTATCTCTGCACCACCAGCTGCTCCACCTCCTCTCTGTTGGTCGTTCTCGTCTCTGATGAGGCCCACCATCGTGGTGTCATCTGCAAACTTCACAATGTGATTGGTGGTGAACCTGGGGACGCAGTCATGTGTGATCAGGGTGAACAGCAGGGGGCTCAGGACGCAATCCTGAGGGGAGGGGCTTAGACTGGATGACATCAGAGGTTTTCTGTCCAATCCAGACTGACTGAGGTCTGTTGGTGAAATACTAAATATTGTTTCAGTCCGTAAGCATGTTTCTCCCATGAGATTTATATTTTGGATTTAGTAATTTAGCACATATATCTGTGCTTGATTCAGAATAAAAGGTGGCATTTTCTAACAGCATCAAAGTGAATAACTTAAAAAAGCTCAAATAGCTACTAAAGAGTTTTAGGTGTAGGAACCCCTCTAGAAACTCTATAGATAATTTTACAAAGAATTCTTCATAAAGTGAAAAATGAAAGCAGTGAGCCTCGTCTTCAGAACATGGTTAAACAACAACAGAGAGTCTTCAGTAGGAGGTTTATTTAGTTTCTGTGTAACACACTCCACTCCAGAAGATCCTTCCTGCCTATATATATCAACATCTAATTGAATAACTGCACATGATTCAATTTCTCTTTGGGATAAAGTATTTTTGAAATAAATTTGAATTGAATTACTAAAATGCTAACATTTTCCAGAAATATTGGGAAAATAGGAAGAACAGTCGTAATATTTTCTTGGTTTAATTGATTGATCTAAATCTTTAACTCTCCGTGTCCTGTTGTGTCCTGTTCTTCTTATGCAGCATGTCACAGCAAAGTGTACCAGACAGCAAAAAGATCTTTACGTTGAGCTCAACATCCCAACAAGACCTCAAAACAGAAGATGGTGAAATTGAGAGTGACGTGCACTTCATCAGTGATGAAGATGAGGGATTGGCTGGATATAGGGAGTCGAACCCAGATTATGAACCACGCAAACAAACAAGAGAAGAGAAATCAAGCAGTAATAAGAGGTGAGTTATCCTAAAATCAAGTCCATAACTTTAATTACTGTTTGAAAGCTCTAATCAACGGTGGATTAAGCGTAGATACAGAATGCAAACAGGTTTACACTTCAATCTTTGAAACTCGACTATAGGTTCTCTACCAGGGGCCTTGCAGCCTCGGGGTTCTAAGAACTGCTTTTGGATTTCCTTGAATTATCCTCCTTTGCATAGAGATCTTTGGGATATATTCTGGTAACTGAAGGCGCTACTTCCCCAGTTTAGGAGTACGTCAGTGACCAATGAAACCATGGAGACTATGGAAACATTTTTGTTATCTGCATCTCAGCCTGAAGGGAGATGGTTTCTGTAATCCGTGACCTTTCTGGAAATTTGCTGACACTCTTACACCAACATGAGAGGATCATTCCGTTACAATCACGAGACTATAGCCTCATTTCCACTACCCTTTTAAATCCCTGGCGAGATTGGTCTTAGCACGGTAACTGAGATAACTGTTGAGTGTAAATGGCACGCCAAACTGAACCGGACCGCACCAGGCACAACCAAACCGCTCTAAACTGGTACTAGTTCATGAGTAGGGCTCGCCGTGGTTCTGTTCTGGCTCGGTTCTCAAATAACAAAGAGCGTATGAGTCATCACCTTACAGTCAGCTTCTCCAATTGTGAAATTTCAGAGATTCATAAAAATACTAGCTTCCCTACCATGCTACACAATTTCCAGCAATGATTCTGCTTAGCAGTGTGATGAACATCAACTTCTATCGTTGTTTCCTGCGTCTGTAAGCCCTGGTTAGACTATTGTTTGTCGTGTCCACTTCCCAAAAGCTGACTCTGTCAAGTAAATTCACCAAAAGCTGCCTTCTTCGCCGGACTGTCCTCAAGCAACGGAATATCACTATTATAACCAAAGTTCCTGAATGTTACGGCCGCCACCATGATGATTTGCTTGTTTCCCTCTAGAGAGTAGTAGTACCGGGGATTGTCACTAGGAGGCGAGGAACTGTGCTAGAGTGGTTTGTAGTGTGTAAACGGTCGTAAGAAACTGAGCTAGGCTCTGTTATCTCATCCAAGCTCGCTCCGAACTTGGCATGAATTGGTTTCAGAGGGTAGTGTAGTGTAGTTTACGATTAAATTAGTTCTCTCCCCCAGATATACATCCGCGCTGAAATCATTATTATTGACCCAGCTCCCAACCCAACTGTGAGAATAGATTAACAGCGATATTTGTTTTATCGCCCGATAAGCCGATAACAGCCCACCACTAATTTATATTAGTGGTAAATAGTGTATATGTATGTATATTCGTATGCCTAAAATTGAAAAAATACATAGAAAGGTCAGCATATGCCAGCGTTTGAGAAGATTCTGGGACGTCAGCTATACGCTGGCTAAATTAGCAAAGTGTGACAGGGCCCTAAATTTGCTTCCTCACTACATCAGTATTGCTTTCAAATTGTTTTCATTTTCTTTGCAGTGATTTTCAAGAAAGTACCAAAGGAGAACATGCTTGCAACAAAGACTCCAGTGGTGGGAACGACAGGGATACAGACAAACCTGAGCGTAAGACACCGAAAATGAGGAGAAAAAAAGAAGGATGGAAGAACAGTAAGAAGATTAGGTCTTGCACAGTTTGTGGGGTCACTTACAGAAATTTGGGAAATTTGCTTAAACATACCTTGAACCATCCCCTCAACCCCCAGAATATTTGTGGAGCCTGTGGAAAGGGCTTTGAATCTGAGGACAACTTGAAAAAACATATCCGAAAGCATAGAAAGTCTTACAACTGTCTGCATTGTGACAAGTCTTTTTTCACCAGAGAAAGCCTCAGGTTCCACATTCTTAAGGTTACAGGAGAAAACTTGCTTGAATGTAATGTTTGCAGTAAAACATTTCCGAGCCAAAAACGGCTGAACCAGCACCGATGGATCCACCTAGAAAATAAACCCTACAGGTGTGATATGTGTCCACAATCTTTCGGTCTGGAGTCACGTCTCCGAGCTCACAGAAAGCGGCACACCAGCAAAGTTTTGTTCCACACAGGAGAGACTCCCTACAAATGCAACAAGTGCGAACGCCGCTTTAAATCTAGGAATCAGCTTACCGAGCACATGAAGAACCATTCAGGCATTAAAGATTTCATCTGTGGGGTTTGTGGCAAAGGTTCTTCGAAACACGAATATCTAAAAGTTCACATGAGAACCCACACTGGAGAGAGACCCTACAAGTGCTCTCTTTGTGACAAAGCCTTCACCCAGAGCCCCTACCTGAAAAAACACATGAAGACTCACCAGACTGAAGAGTCGCCTGCGATCCCTCCCGCTACTGAAGATGGTTCATTTAGTCCGAAATGAGGGACAGATATTACATTTATGCCTTCCTTTACTTTATTGTTCAAATGGTTTTTGAATTTAAATGTTGATTTGAGATTTTGTGAAATGACATGACTTTCCGATTAATTTTTCAATCACACTGTCATTGGCTATGTTGACTTGGAGCAAAAACGTCCTTGGTCGAGATTCCGACCTGGGGTCTTCCCAAGTGGAGATGTTCCCCTCATGCATCCCTTGGTTCTCTCTTGGCATGCTGGCTTCTTCACATAGTCCAAAAATAACAATTGTTTGGTTAATTGGCCTCTCATAAGTTGTTCCAAGGAACATAAGCTCTACTTCAACATGTCACTTAAGTAGAAGTAAACTAAATTTTAATTCAGAAATTACTCTGAAGACACGTCAGCGAACAGTTTCCTATCAGAGGCCTATCTTTGGTGTTAATAGATGACTGAGAGTATTTAGACTGATCTTTTTAAGATGGCGTTGAATCCTTCTTAAAGCATCCGAGGTTCATCAGGTGCATTACCACATCTAATCTATTTTTCTTAGAACAGTCCTTCCAGTGACAATATATATAGATTATTGCAGGCATCCCCAAACTCGGTCCTCAAGGCCCCCTGTCCTGCAGGTTTTAGAGGTTTCCTTGCTCCAGCACAGCTGATTTTAATTGAAAGCTGATTAACAGGCTTTTGGTCTACTGCAATCATTATAACCAGCTGTGCTGAAGCAGAGAAACCTCTAAAACCTGCAGGACAGGGGGCCTTGAGGACCGAGTTTGGGGATGCCTGGTTTACAGTATATACACATGACTGGCAAATGGTCCAGTAGGCACAATAGATGGGAAATAACATGAGAAAAACAAAACTTGTGTATAAACAAGAGGTTTATCTGCAACAAATCTGTTGGTGTCTCAGGTTAAAAATTTGTTCAAAATAATCCTGTTTTGCAGAAATGTTAAATTTTGTTCCTTTCTTTTTATTGTCCTTAAACTGTCACAAGTACAGAGCAATGAAATAAATTCCCTGCATTTAACCCATCCCCTTGGGGAGCAGTTGTCATTGTGCAGTGTGGCGATTAAGGGTCTTAATCAGGGACCCAGAGTGGCAGTCTGTGGGAGTGGGCTTAAATTCAGAATCTCTGGATTCCAAGCGCAATTTCCTAACCGATAGACCGCCACTCCCCTAATGGGATAAAAAAGTCTTGAATTTAAGTTTGTGAGCCTTTTAGAAACCCTGTCACAAGGAAAGCTTATCCTTTGGGCTTGATCACATCTTGAACAGATTAAATTATATGTATGGCTCACCACAACCAATGGTAAATACCTCGTTGGCAAGAGACCAACTTAATCTGATGTCCCAGAAACTGAACACTTAGTACCACCTCCCTGTTCAATAAATGAACTATATATGAAACTGATGTAAAGAGACACTACCAAATATTTTGCTGTATCCTCTACAGGGATAATACAGCTTTTTCTCAATACACTGCATGTCCTTATACTTTTTTCAAGTGTAGATTACTGAGTGAAATTCATCTTTCCAAGAGAAAAATGCTTTTGGACGAACATTCGAGGTTTGTAAATGCTGTTAAACAGACATCCTATAGTTGTTCTACCAGATGTGTCTCCATACCATCGTGTTCTTCTTAAGAACATTGGAGTTGAAGTTGCACTCAAAGAATGCAACCAATGAGGTCCAAACACTAAAGGAACTAACCTTTCTTACGTACAGGCTGCTCTGCCCCTTGTGGATGACTTCCCAATTGGGTTTCCGGTCGAGTTTTTTGTCCAGCTGAACACTAAGGTGTTTATACTCCTCCACCACCCCCACCTCTTGTCCCATGGCTTGCACTCTTATCAGAGAAAAACAAGACTGTGACCTGATCTTATAGAATTAGGTCTTCCTATACTGTTATACGAGTCCTTGAAATTTTCTTTACACAAATCCAAGATTTCTTTTCTCTGGTTAAGCAGTTGAAAAACTGTAGGAATGTTAATAGTATAGCAGAAAGTGGGGCATGATCGAAATCACCAGTTATTGCCACTGAGAATATTATTTGCCCAGAGAGTTCACCAGTGTTCTCTTGGTAACTGTTTACATTCCACCTTATGCCATTGCCTGATGTCATCTGTTGTTTAGTTGCTAAGCTACATACACAACAGCCAAATGCGTTTCATTTGGTGCAGATTACAGGACGTCCAATACCTGATGGAGACCTCATCTGCTGAAATAATATACCAGATTTCAAAAGTAACAGGAACAAGTTAAATCCTGTTAATTGGAGTTGGTGGAATACCACCTTGGTGTTCACTTTGACAAGAAAGGACACAGCAAAATTGACAACATCAGTATTGCTTTCAAATTGCTTCATTTTCTTTGCAGTGATTGTCATGAAAGTACCAAAGACAAATCTGAATGCAACACAGACTCCAGTGGTGAGAACAATCAGGATATAGACAAACCTGAACGTAAGACCCAGAAAAGGGGGAAACAAAGATGGCTGGGAGAGGAGTGAGGAGATGATGTCTTGCAAAGTTTGTGGGGTCACATACAGACAATTGCCAAGTTTGCTTAAACATACCTTGAATCATCCCCTCAACACTCCGAATATTTGTGGAGCCTGTGGAAAGGGCTTTAAATCTGAGGTTGTTAAAATGAGGAGGATTTGTCCTCTTGGAAGGAAGGCTGTAGCGCCCCGGGGGCCTCCTCAGCAAGTTTTTACTACTCTTAACTCAAACTGTGTAAAACCATATAAAAAGGACTATAAAACAGGAGTAAAAAATGACAGACTTTATTCCAGATCAGGTCGTTACTGGACAGAGAAAAATGCTTAGACCTTGCACAGCTGTGGTCTCAAAAATCACGTCCGCGAGCATCCGGCAAAGTTTGGGCTCCAAACAAGGTCATCACCTCCTTCTTATAGCTCAAGAGTCTATGTGTTGCATCATGTTGATGTTTAGCTGTCCGTATCAGAAACTGAAATGCCATCCATGTCTTGAACTTCATGCAGCTTGCTTCTATGCTTCAGGGTTACAGATAGCTCTCCTCTATCAGACCGGCTCCAAGATGTGCCCATATCCTGTGTACTCTTAAAGACACGAAGGCTGTCCTAATTAGATGACCTCCGTACACACAGTGACGTCCACAATGTGAAGGAAGGCCTTCTACTCTGTCTAATCTGACTAACAAAATAACAATGCACATGATGTATAAATGATAAACCTAACAAGGTCAACTTGAAGAAACATATCCATAGTCACAGAAAGTTTTACAATTACATTGTGTCAAGTCTTTCAACAGAGAAAGCCTCAGGTGTCACATTCTTAAGGTTACAGGAGAACACTTGCTTAAATGTAATATTTGCAGTAAAACATTTCCAAGCCTAAGTCAGCCGAACCGGCACCGATGGATCCACCTAGAAAATAAACCCTACAGGTGTAATATGTGTCCACAATCTTTCGGTCTGGAATCACGTCTCCGAGCTCACAGAAAGC